CTCCCTGCCTCCTTCCTGCCTGTCTCTTCAGTCTCTGGTCCCCTCTTTTTGGTGGGACGTCACCTCTAGTTTGTCCTTCAGCCTGCACCTTACTTCATGCTGAGGGTCAACGCTCAGGAAAGTCCCCACCCTGAGCAGTATCCAAAAGAGCAGTTCCTTTCAGAGAATAGTCAAGCTGAGCATGGTGGGACGAGCCTCTGATCCCAGCAATCAGGAGGCAGAGATGGGCGGATCTCTGTGAATTTGAGGCCAGCCTGGTCTACTTAGCAAGTTCCAGGCTAGCTGGGGGAAGAGACTCTGTCTCAAACAAACAACAAAAATAAAAAAGAAAAGCAAAACCTTACATGTCCCCAAATCTAATAACTATTCAGTGGATATATCTATATCAAGCACTTTACATACATCCTACCCACATGGCCACATGTAACAAATGTCATGCTAGTTGACAGTTAAGTGCTTACTATATCACCTTGTTAGAACATAAGAGTGGGCCGGTAAGGTGGCTCAGCAGGTAAAGGCACTTACTGCCAAGCCTGGCCTGATGACCTGAACTCAATCCCCAGAACCCAAGTGATAGGAGAACTGATTCCCACAAGCTGTCCTTTGACCTCCACATGTGCGCCATACAATAAAAAAATGTAGCGGATCAAAACCGCCACTAGCACCGGCACCAGCAGGCAGGGTCAAGCAGAAGGACCAACTGCAGCAGAATAAACAGGACGAGAGGCTGCAGCACCCACGCCCCCTCATCCCTCCATTCCCTGACTCCACAGTATCACACCGCTGTCTCCGCTCTGCTGTAAGCACCTGACAGGTTGGAGGCTTGCTCAAGGTCAGGAAAGCGGCAAGCAGCTTGGGCTACAATTCTGGCTTCTCAGTCTTGTGGCTTGCAGGCCACCCTAGACAGTACAGCCTTTGGATCACTCTGGTTGTGGACAGCAGGCCTAACCCTGCATGCCCAATGCAGGCACTTAGCCAGGATCAGCATTATAATCATCACAATCCGAACATAGTATCTGCAGACAGGCTACTCCAAAGACCCCAACTCAGACTCGTCTTCACTCTCCTCATGAAGACGAAGGAAGTAGTAACTGATGCTAGCTCAGGTTAGACAGATAGTGACTACATATGGCCACCAACCCCCAGGGACTTCAGTGTGCACCTTGCTTGAGTGACTCTTCTACATCTCAACGTCTGCAGACCCCTAAGATGTCCTGGGAGCATGTGTGCCTGCAGCCTCTCTCTTTGTGGGATGCAGGGTGACCAGGAGACCTTTCTCTGCCGCTGCAGCCCTTTCTTTCTCCCCACTGTCCAAATTCAAATGCTTAGTCTCACCCCGTGGCCATGTCTTGCTTCCAGGGAACCTACTTCACCAAAACCACAAAGAACCATGCACTGTACCAGGCAGAGGCAGATTCAGGGATGAGGGGGGCTTCCTGCTGGTAGATGATTGCTCTGGACTTCCTAGTTTCTTGGCTGTTCTAGAGGGATGAAGAACCCAAAACACTGACCTTTATTGCATACAGGTTTCAAGGGAAAAAAGTTTTTAATAGCTTTATTTTTACTTAACTATGTGGTTTGTTCTGAGACAGGATCTCCCTGTAGCCCTGGAACTCTCCATGTAGACCAGGCTGGCCTCAATCTCACAGAGACCCATCTACCTGTGCCCCCCAAGTGCCAAGATTAAAGGTGTGAACCAACATGCCTGGCTCTTAAGTTGCCTGACAGACTTGAGGCCAATCCTGGAACCTACAAGGTAGGAGAGGACTCCTGCAAGCTGTCCTCTGACCTCACTTACACACACAATAAGTACATATAAAAAGAACTTCTTTTTAACTTGAAAGAGAGACTGGCTACTCAGGCCACACTGACTAGGAGTAGAGAAGCTTTCTGTTTGTCTGACACAGGGTCTTATTGGGTAGCCCTGACTGGCTTGTTACTAAATGGCCCAGGCTGCTCTTGAACTCATGACATTCCTGCTGCTTCAGAATGCCATGTTTACAGGTGGGCCACCACGCCTGGCTAGAATGAAATTCATTACAAGGTGATATGATATTGATAGAGAAAAAAATCGGACTATATTCTTTAGGAATAAGTTAGGTTTAAGTTACATCAAATAAGAATCCTAATAGAAGCTTAAGGATCATGAAATTTATACCTATTTGCTGTATTTACACTGAATAGTAATATTACCAATGTAATTGGTAATCCTTTCTCCAAATAAAGTTTGGAAAATCCCAGAAATCTCAGATGAGTTAGATTTTAGGGTCCTGATTATGCATCCAACACCATGAACGCACACCACCAACCAGGTTTGGGCATGCCCTGTTAATGATAAATTCCTCTCTTATGTGAAACAGGATGATGAGGGCTCCACTGTCAACAGGAGCTCTGGGACACTAGAGAAAGTAATCACTAAGGATCAGAGTACTGTTTATGGCAGAATTTGGGGGTCCTGGCTGGCTAGCTGCCTTGTTCACCGCCTGGAGCTGAAATTCAGGGAGAAATTGTATAGTTTAAAACCCTAAAGGGAGATTCTTAAGTGATTTCTGACATTTACTACTTTAGTCACCTATTTTATGCCTCTAATTTTCATTATTTACTTTTTTGGGGGACATGGTCTCATGTAGCCCAGGCTGGCCTCAAACTTACTATGTAGCCGAGGATGACCTTGAACTTCTTATCCTCATGCCTCCACCTCCCAAGTGTGTCTATGCCAGTTTATGTGGTAGTTCCCAAACCCAGCACTCTGCCAACTGAGCTATCCTCACCCCCCAGCTCAATGCTTGAGAACTGTAAACAGCACGCCCTCGCTCTGAGGCTGCTTCCACTTCAGAGTTCTGGGGGGGGGGGGCGGGGCGGCGACGACGACAACACGGGACCGTCAACTCTGAATCATTAAGAGAAGGTGCTGCAAAGTCCTGTTGGGAAGAGGAGCTCCTTTCCAACTCTGCTTAAACAGCTCTGAGGCTGGCAGCAAACGCCCAAGCAGGTGCTAGGTCATGCTTCCAGCACACATGTGAGACCGCATACATGTGAGAACTGACTGAGATTGCTTCAATTTTGTTCTCCGACTAAATCGTGTCATTTTTAACTTCATGTTTGAATCTGGGGGGGGGGGTATCTCTAAATAAACACCAGCAGCATCATCTTCAGAGCTTTCCTTCTAAGAGAATCCGGGATAAGAAAGTCAGCATCCACATGGGTGGCACTTAATACTGAATTTGTTGACAGAGCAGCACCAGAGAAGTGTTTCATGAAGATCTCACCTACAGGCATGTAAGACATGCCTACACTCAACGGCAGAAGCAAAGCATTTTTAAAAAGCAAGTATTTACTCCCTTCAAAAAACAAAAGTATTTCAGCTGGGCGTGGTGGTGCATGCCTTTAATCTCAGCGCTTAGAAGGCAGAGGCAGGTGGATCTTTGGGCGTTTGAAGCCAGCCTGGTCTACACAGTGAGTTCCAGGCCAGCTGGGGCTACAGGGAGACCCTGTCTTAATAAAACACCAAGTATTTCTCTGGCTCCTACCCAGTGCAGTCACAACGAGAGGGCCTAACATCCCAGACATCTCAAATCTCTCAACACCTGCAGCTGTCTAGGTCCAGTAACTGCCTGCTCAATTACTAATAACCCAAACTAGGAGTGATGTGTAAAAAATGGCTGATCTGAGAAAGGTTGGTGTCTTTTACCACTTTGGGAAAAAATGCATAGCTCCATTCAACTGCACGAGGCTATGGGCCAAACAAGTAAAGCCTGAGCCATGTTTAGCTGTACATTCAGAACTGATCCAGGTCTCACAAGATGACAAGTCCTTGAAACATCGTATGGTATGGCTCTGTAGGAAGTGGTTGATACTTTTAAGAAATGTGTACTTAAGGTGCCCAAGGACACATACTCTGCGGATTGGTAAACTGAGGCAGCAGCACAGCAACAGTTCAAGAGCTGGGTCTCATGAGTCAGAACGCTGAGGGGTGAATTCCAGCTCTTACACTTTCTAGTGGAGTGACTTTGGATGAATTCCTTCATCTCCCTAACGCCGGTTTCTTTAATTATAAATCTAGGACTGTCATAGAAAAGGCCGTTAGGCCAATCCAACGAGCCCTGCACAAAATAAGCATTCAACAAGGCGTTGTCTACATTTACTGATCAAAGTTGGGTTAGTTTTCATCACTACTAGAAGATCTGAACGAAAGGACCAGGGCTTGTCTGGCTGGCTCAGAGTCCGGACCCAGCAGCGTAGATATGATACGACTGACATTCCCTAAGACTTGACCTTGGAAACCTTTCCGCCCTTCATACCAGATCTCAACCGCGGACTAGTCCTCAAGAATGAAAATCTACGAGAAATGCACGCGTGCCTGACAGGGCGAGGCTCTCCTACGGCATTTTTATTCTGGTGAAGGCAGCAGGGTGAGCGCGCTTGGCCTGCATGCCCAAGCCCATGGGGCACCACTGCCTCCTGGGCCTACCGCTTCTTCCTAACTCGAGTCTGGGGAGGCTCTGCCTCCATTTCTGGATAGTAGCTGGGGGGGGCGGGGGGGTACCCAGGAGGGCGGGCACCAGCCGATAAGTCCGAGTCCGGACTCCAACTTTTCAGGAGGCCTTGAGGGCTGGGATCGAGCCCTGGGAGGCTCCAGGTGGCCTTGACCTTGGTGTCCGAGACCCAGTTTGCCGGCCCGCGGGGTCAGGCCGATGACCCTGCTCCTCCGCCGGGCCAGGTGGCTGCACCGGGCGTGGCCCTACAGGGCGGGGGGGACTGGGAACCGCATTCCCGAGGCTCCCCCGGGCCCCCCGGGCCCTCGGGCGGGTGCGGGGCTCGAGGCCGCCGTGCTCGGGCCGCGCAGGCCGGGATGGAGCCGCCCGACCCCGGGCCCGGGCTGGCAGCT